CTTCTAAAACAATACATCTAAAATGATAAAAAGTGTACTTAAAAAACACACAGACCCTGTAATATTACACAATATCCAAACACCTAACAATATAATCACAGAACCTCAGAAGATCAAAATCACAATACAGGAACATTTCAAAAACTAGACAAAATCAAACACAACTCAAACAGAACTATGGAAAAAATAGGCAGACAAATACAAACCAATTCGAACAATAGACCCAATATGGTATAATACAATCATGACAAAGATTATACCCTCCGAACTAGAGACTATAATCAAAGAAGCACCCAACACAAAGGCTATTGGACCCTCAAAAATATCAAATAAAATGTTAAAACATCTAGGCCCCCAAGCGAAAGCCACAATCTTAAATCTATTAAACAATTGTCTAATACTATATGACATGCCAACTGCATGGAAATATAGTACAATATACCCCATATCAAAAAAATCAACATTTACAGAAGATTTAAACCAAACACGCCCAATTACACTAATCGAACATACTAGAAAAATCCATACAAAAATCATTGTACGAAAACTTAATTCCATCCTATCCAAATACAACATATTGAATCCTAACAACTATGTAGCCCTAGCAAACACCTCTACCGCAACACCAATATACATACTTCAACATATAATAGAAGACGCTCAAACAAACAAAAAAGAACTATAGTTGTTATTGCAGAACATGAGCAAAGCTTATGACTCGGTAAACATACCACTGTTAATCAAAGCACTAAATCGCATCAAAATACTGAAACCTATAACAAACATCATAAACAATATACTATCTCATAGACACAATAATGTTATTACAAACCATGGACTAACCAACAACTATCACGTTCAAGACAGAATAGATCAAGGGAAAACCATAATCCCACTACTATGTAGAATATACTACGACCTCTTGCTAACTTAGATCAACAGAAACCACCCCACATATACAATAAACACAACAACACCACAATCAACACACATACAATACACATGCCTCAGCAAACAACAAAACGTATTCGCATATATGGATGATATGTTATGGATAGCAGAAAACAAACCAAACTTACAAATACTAATTGACACTGCTAATTCCTTTTACAAAATGACAGGAATCACAGTTAATCCATACAAATCCATACTAGCCACCAATCACAAACCAAAAAACAAAGAGGAACTCGTATATATCACATTCAATAATACTAATATATATCCAATATCATCTAAACACTGCTTCCAATTCCTTGGATGTTACTACAACATCCACATCAACAAAACAACAATACAACAAAACATAACAAAAGAAATCGAAGAAGCCTTAAAGCTACTCCACAAATCAA